TTGGTTGTTGTTGGTTGTTGTTGGTTGTTGGTTGTTGTTGGTTGTTGGTTGTTGGTTGTTGGTTGTGGTTGTGGTTGGGGTTGGGGTTGTTGTTGTTGTTGTTGGTGGTGGTGGTGGTGGTGGTGGTGGTGGTGGTGTTGGTGTTGGTGTTGGTGTTGTTGATAGAAACAGAATCAGGAACAGACAATGCAACTAGTGCAAGGCAACTCGGGCGGCATAACACGCACCGTGGGGCCACTTGAAGGAAGGGGGTACCAATACGAGCATGTCACGAAAACCGAAAAGGTACATGTTTTGAACAACATGTTTAGCATGCGTTTGCACGCAAGAGCCCAAAACACCGCGTTTTCGCCCGAGCGTGCCTGCAGACCTCCATTAGGGGCGGGGTACGCCTGCGGGTAGCCACCTTCCGCTCTGCGAGTATAGAAAGGAGTGTGGTCGAGCTACAAGGCTTTGCCGACGGTGTAGCGTGTTTACTAACCAGGCATGAATGATGCAAGGGTGCGGGGCCCACTGCCTGTCTTGAAGCAGCAGAGGCTGTGTTGTGCTATTGGGTGAAAGGGCTCGTAGTTGTGTGCAGGAATCCATGTGGTGACAATGGATTGCGGTTCTATCCAGCCGTGTGTGGTTGGAATGCGAAAGCTGGAATGAGGGGTGGGTAGGGTAAGACAACAGCAGATGTTTTTGTTGGGCAAGACTAACTAGAGGGTGCAGAACTCCCTGTGATGCTGATGGATGAAAGGGATCTGCCAGAATTCCAATGGTGTTTCACCGGCAGCGTGCGTGAACGCCCAAAAACAGCCCATGTGGGACATGCTTGTTTTTCCGCGCAGAAAGACATGAAGACCACCGCCGCCATGGCAGATCGGATGGCAAGTCCACCGCAGAAGCCAGCCTCCGGAAGGGTAGGGATGAAACCATCGACCATACCGACGTACTCACCCTACACACATATTCATACGATTCCACATGCCGAGTGGGGTCGGCGGACTTGTTTTCTCTATTGTTCATTTCGCTTACTTAAGTCGCTCCTTTGGGCCTCCCTTCCTGCTTCGTGGGGCGGCTTGACTTAATATGGTATTCGGTATTCGTTTGTTTCTGGTTATCCCACTTCCTCTTGCAGCTTTCATTCTACCCTCATTGATCCTCAGGACGCGCGTCTGCAGATGCCCCACCAGACCACGAGCAGATGGTGCAGGTGCGTTGGTGGTCATTCCTGAAATTGAGCACACTTGATTTATCCCACTGATAGCCTGACCAGAACTTCATTTGGTGCTTTGATTCAAAGGGTCAAGGATCCTGCTTAAAGGACTTTCGTTTGTGAGATGTTGTGAGATGAAACATGTGGTTTGGATAATTTGGTTTGCCAAATAACTGGACCAATCTGTTTGAAGGGACGAGAAAGACAGGCAACAAGGAAGCTTGATGAATTCGGAGAGTTGGATGATTGATGATGTCTGATGAGGACCAGGATGAGGATACATCCATGATATCTCTATAGAGGTTCCAATGCCCTGGATATATATTTATATGGAAAGGAACTCTGAATGGGGACCAGGCAACCGCGACAATGTCAGTGAACTCATGGAACCTAGACATTGTGATTGCCAATGATCTTGGCCGGGGTTGGCGCCATGCGGACGTGCACGACAAGGTCGGTCTTCACGGTTTCGCCGCTGGAAGGGTTTTGAAACGTTTCTCTGTGAGGGCAGGGTCTTATTTGTCCTGCTGGGGCTCTGATTGAGACATTGTTTGTCAGAGATCAATGGTTTTGGACGGTTCATATTAGGAGGTCGCACACATGCCTGCTTTGATTGGTTGTTAGCGAGAAAAAAGGGTGTGACAGTTTCTGTCTTATGCCAAGTAAGACAGGATTGGCCTATTTTGATTGTTGCCTAACTTCCTTGGTTTCACTTGTTGAGATGCCACCTCCGCCTTTTGTGCAGGCCGAGGATTCTGGAAAATCACTTTTATCTGCTGACAGTGCACGGAGGCGAAGATCAACTTGGGTCTTGAGGGGCTGAAGATCAAACCTTTGGACACCTACCTAACTGCTGAGCTGGCCCTTCAACCTCAGCTTGGCTGGGAGGAGGTGTCAAACTTGAGTTTGATATGATTGGCATTCTTGGACCTAGACTGTGAAGAACCAAGTGCAATGTTTCATGGCCTACAGTTTCACGTGAGCAGCGTCAAAAACCTCCCACGAACAGTTTAAGCAAACTTGTAAACTCCGACTTGCCCGCGGAAGCCACAGCTGCAGTCGTGGAAGCTTGCGGAAGCCACCGCGTAAGTATATGGTAAAATTCACCATCGCTGAAGCTTTGCGGAAGTGCCCAAGTGCCCATGTGAGCTTCTTGAATCTTCTATGCTTTAAGGAGATTTGTCTAACCTATGAGCACTTTTTGAGAAATACATCGCGGAAGCACTGCGGAAGAGGATTTCAACCAAACATGGCCCGCGGAAGCCAAAACGCAGATCGCGGAAGCTCCGCGCAAGCATTGGCGGAAGCAAGTCATGAGAAAAACAGATCGTAGACCGGTTTTTGACACCGCTCACGTGGGGTCACATCAGGTGGAAAAGAACCAACAAAGACTCTGAACCCATGGATGCTTTAGATTGTTGGCATGTTCTCCCATATCCAACCATCCCTTTGTCTCACTGGTGCCAGGTGCCACAAATGAACGATGGACAGACAATCTCCCCAATGATTCTATAGGATATTTGGGTTCTAAAGAATCCTATAGGATCCTATAGGTCTAAACTCTGGACTAGACATCTGAGACGTTTGCAAGCCATCCAACTCAGATACCCTTCGCACCTGTTTTGTGATCAAAGCGGACATATAAATTAGTAGTCCCCCAATCTTGACATGCCCACTTGGTTTTCATACATTTTCTGCACAGACCAAGACCACTTTTTGGTACTCTCAGCTCCTTCCTGCGAGCAGGTGCGGCACTGTTGCAAAATCATGTGCGATGGTGAGCCCAATTCGAAAAGCTGAGCTTTCCCAGCTTGGCGAAGGGGTTTGGATCGATTCCACACTTGCAACCCGTCGAGTCAGGGACATCCTTGGTTGAGTGATTTCTTTTGAGAGACGTTCCCAGAATTTAAGGGAACATGTTGTCAGGAGCATTTTGGCAGTATTGAAACTCTCCCTTTTTGGGATTCCCCCAAGCAGTGATACACCATCAGGTTGACTTTCAGGTCATGTTTTGTTATTTTTTGTTCGTTTGGTATACTGGGTCGAGTTGACGCAACCGACAAGCATTCTACAGTAAATTCACAAGTTGATCAGGCGCTCTCACTGGTAGTACTGTGGCGACGCGCCCTCTTACCGCCAGCACGCTGCTATTGTAGTTATGAACAACTGCGCTTTTGTCCACCCCTGACAGTCTTTTGTCCACTAACGGAGAGAAAGTCGAGAAAAGTTTCCAAGTTGCACTCCTTCGGGTGCAGCATAAAGAAGCGCTGATGTGCCAAGATCAAGAAAAGTGTCTACTTGGGGACACCAGGCTCACTGACCCCTTGGGGATTCCCAGTCTCACATGGCGGGTGTTTTATTGCATGCTAACCCCAGAATCTTTGGACGTGCACAGCAAATCAAGAGACATCGGCATCAGAACTGCTTGGCATCATATAATCATATATCACTGACGGGCATTCAGTCAGTCAAAGAGTGACCTTTTGGCAATAGAGAGATGCTCTTGCACTCTAAAGCAAGGCATGCTCATGTGCAGTGGTTGAGGGTAGCTGGAGAACATTGCTTCTTTCGCATTAGCGGATTCTTGGCAGTGACCTTTGATGTAAACTGTATTTTGCAATTTGGCTCCAGTTGGTCTCACAACCACAGACCTGAAAACTGCTGTCGATGGCCAAGACAGTGTTTGTTTAAAGCACAAGGTCAATGGAATTGGAACACGATCTGAGGCTGTTGACCATGGCAACCGGTGTGTGGGATCCTCGGAGGTCGCTTTTGATCACAACGAGGTATTTTGGTCACAACGTCTTGCCACAATCAAGAAACCGTGAACATTGAACAGTAGCTTTTTGCAGCTTTTTGCCGGCAAGGTACAACTTGAAGGTCCTGAACGATAATTGGTTCGAGGTGACTGGAACACTGTGTCGTCAACAACATAGCCACACATGGACACAGGCAACGACTCCACGACCAGCTTTCCAGCCACACGCAGACTTTGACACCACAGCTTCCAAAAGCTTTTGTCCACGGAGTGCAAGTAAGAAGTTCAAAATCTTCAGGGTGGAACAGTTTCATTGGTGAATTCTTGTGATGCCGCTTGTGATATTGCTATCCCAAGAGCAAGGGGTCATACACACCCAAGCACCCAATGGGCACAGAAGGACCCAGTCCGAAGGACCCATCGACGAACCCAGCCCTGAAGGATCGATGCCAACCAGCAGGTTCTCTTTCTGCAACGACGGGCATTGACAGGACCTGGCGGCTTCGTTTTCTTTGTCCGGCTAGTTGCCGCTCTTCAATTGTTCCAGGAAGTACGCCAGACCACACGAATCGGACCTCGCTTACATCGGCGAGAGGAGGGCAAAGCAAAGCATACATGTGTGTGTTCTTTTTCAGATACTGCTTACATCGGTGAGGCTTTGATGGCTTTGATGGCGGCTGTTGATCTGATAAGGAAAAGACAACACATTCATTTCTTTAGATTATTTTTTCTCCAAATTCTTTATCCTCCACGATTGTTTACAATTTCCATACAAAGGCATTTTCCCCAGAATGTGCGAGGTTTGATGTCCTTGCACGGATCAGCCGATTGCCCAATCGGCCTTCCTATGCACTGCCCTTGGACGGCTTTGATGAGAAGGTGCAGCAAACCAGCAGAGTGAAGGATGTATCCTGTCATTAAGCCTTTGATGGGCTTTTCAGCATGCTGCCCCGCCAAAGATATTCGCCATCAACGGATTCTGGTATCGTCGAGTCCAGCCGCCTTTCATTTTGGCAACGTCCGCTTTCGTGCATTCCTGGATCACGAGCAAGCGTGTCCTGGGCAATACAAAGCAAATGAGTGAAGGGATAAAGCAATGATGAGGAAATACTACCGGACCCTGCCGTGTACACAAACAAAGGCTCGGATGAAGAATGGGGCTAAGATTGCTAATTATTTTTTATTGGTGAGCTCGGCATGTGCATCCTGCCCCTGCTTTGCTAAGAGCGCATGGTGTGCAGATGTAGAGCCTCAACCTGCAACTGGAACGTGAAGAGCTAATGGTGGCCCTTTCCATGTTCTAGTATTCTGTGGAAATGGCGCCATGGCATTCCTTGACCTTCTTGCGGAAAGACATGTTGGAGACTGCTTGCAGCCAGCTTAGCTTGGAGATGTTTCAGGATGCACTGCATTGGTTTTCTTACACCCTGAACTCCGACAAAGACCAACGCTGCACCACCTGAGCTTCCTGAGAGGTGATTCAGGGTTTTGTGCGAATAAAGAGACTGTTTGTTTTTAGGTGGCGATTTGGTGGTTGCCCAGCCTGCAACCGGTCAACAACCCAGTATACTGAATGGCCATTGTTTTGCTCTCGGCAAGTTACCAGTGCTAAAAGCTCTTTCGCTGTTCGTGATAAGACAAGATGAACCCACGCCAAATCAGGGATGTGCTTTTTGAACTATTCTAGTTAGCAGACTTGGATTGTGCTTCGTGTGGGCAACAAACAGTGCAATTTGTGGAGCACTTTTGCGAGCTGAGGCTGTGCTTGTGGTGGCACATGTGTCGAATGGAGAGCAGCAATCTTGCATACCGCTCAGCAGTGTCAGTATTTCTTCAAAAAGACAGTCTTTGATTGCACTTCTAGGAAAAGACCGTGTGACTAGTCTGTGCAGGCTTTTAATTTCCACTAGTCCAGCTTGCATCAAAGCACCTGAAAGAAGTTGTAGGGTGCATCTTCAAAATGGATATCCAAAGTGGCCCCAGACCATCGCTCCTAGGTTGGAGGCCATCGCTAGTAGGTTGGAGGCCATCGCCAGTAGGTTCCTTTTGCTAGTGGGCTAGGATATTGCTTCTAGGTTGGAGGACATCCAAAGTGTTCCAGTCCATCCTGGTCACTTCCCTGCGACAAGGTAGCGACTCTCGAGCGACCTGGTACGGCTGCGTTGAGTGTCTGGCTTAGCTGAACTAGAGAATGATCTAGCAAATCTCCGGAGTTTTTGGATAGAAGGGTACACGGTACACGGATAAAGGAAAACGAAAAGGAAGGGCACACAGTGTTGGTCACTGGTTACCAAGAGTTGATGTTTACTTCGACTGGTCCGCTGTACAGTAGTTGATGAAAGGGCCTTTTGTTCCTTGATCTTCTGCTTGCTCGGACATGGGCAGTTTGAAACGCAGGGAAAAGTGCAGATGAGCTGGGGCCACTCCAGTGTAAAGTCACTGATCAAATTCCAGGCGCGTTATTTCGGGTGGGAAAGACTGGGTGACAAGGATTGGCTGTGGTGAGTGTATGGGCTTTAGGGATGTGCAGGGTGTTTTGGGCAAGTGACGACAGTTGTCTCAAGTCGCAGCTGTCAGGCCGACTATACTTCAAAGTCTTTGGCGTCCCGGAGCTTTTACGTTAATGCCTCAGAATTTCTTTTCGCTTCGCACCAGGCTGAAGGTGAATCCAATCTTTCAGCCTGGTTGCCAGTTCAGGTGCCGTTCGCTCGGTGGAGACGATTGGAGTGCGGCCCTTGGAGCCTCGCTCGGTAGGAGCGGTCTGCTTCGGTCTTCGAAACCTGCGGCGTTCGTAGGTGACGGTCCTGCGGCATTCGGAGGATCCGCTGGGTACCGTGCCCGGAGGGTGCAGAGATTAGCAGAGCACCAGTGCAATGATGTTTCTGAAGCTCTTTTTGGAGGAAGCAAAGCACTTACTCCGAGCTAAAGGCTCTAAAAAACTCTTTCGAAAGTGAAGAGACCAAACTATTGAGACTGCAGCGGGGCTGCAGGTACTTTCCTGAACTTCTCCGGAGCTTCCACTGAGAGCTGTATGCAGAGAATTCTTACCACGGCGCTGCCCTTACATCCTGACGAAGGCAATGTTGGCATAGTTCCGTAAGAGGAGCGGACTCAAACTATCCACGTGACAAACCACAAAAGAAACCATGTGACTGCCATTCTTATGTAGTAGGTTTCATGAATCTCTGAGGTCATGTCGGCTGACTGGTCCAAAGCGCTGCTCTTTTGGGCTCTCTTGGTTGGCGCGCTTCCCAGTTTCGAACTAAACGGAGTGCGCGGGAGCAGGAACGGAAGTGTCGCTGAAGTCAATGTAGATGGCAACCACCTCGAGAAGCACTCTTGTGTAAGCTCTCAAATTCATATCGAGCAAAGCCCGAGGCCAGCCCTTTTCTCCACGATCGTGGTGGCCTTGGTGATGGCCGGTGTGCAGTTGTTTCCCCGATCCAGGCATCAAGGTGGCCTTTCGACCAACCCCCGATACGACTCTCTTGGCAGTAGGCAACCCCTTACCAATGGTCTTACCCTTGTTTGCCATGGTTTACTGTATGACTTATGACTCCAAGTAGTGGGGAGAGAAAAACATAGGGGCGATGTGATGTCATCGGGGGTCTTCGTTTCCATTGAGCACTGTCTTTGAGGTTCCGAGTCAAAGCAAAACGCTCTACGAAAGTTGGAAAGGCCAAAGCACAGCAGTGGTGTCAGCAAGTACAATGGTCGGATCCACTGACCTATGGGCTGTTCATCTACTTATCCTAGACGTCAGTCATCCATTGGCGTTGCTATAGCTGCCCGGACTGGACTTAAATATCCTTTTGCCCAATAGACCCTCAGCGACAACTGAATAGGGGTCTCAGGAAAGCGAAACAAAGCAGGTGAGGCACTCTTCTTGGGCAGGGCACAAGACACGATTGGTTTGAATCCATCTCCTTTATTCCATCAAGACTCACTGCAGTCTGTCCGGTTGCGAAGGCCTTGGTTTCCTCCGACGCTCTCGCCGAAGAGGCAGGCAAATGTAACTTTTTGGTCTTCCGTGTGCCTCATGTGCATCATGTGCCAACCCAACCCGTTGGCTCCCCAACGACACTCGGAGACCCAGTAAGCTGTGGGAATCTTATACACCAGTGCCCTAGCCTAAGCCCTTCCGCGCAGGTGGGTGCTGCGCTATTGGAACGCTTCGGCTGGGCCGTGGACTTGCAGGCGCCGGAGCTGGAGGCGAGGGCAGAAGGACCTTGCGAGGCCTGGAGCTACTAGTAGCGTTCTTGCTCCTAGTAGTAAGGCCAGGAGCCCGTAGTAGCGTCCTGCTTGTGGGCTGAGCTGTTCCGAAGACTCGCCAGGTTCGAGTGCAGCTGAATCAGGAAGAGCTTTTGGTGAGCCTCACAGCTGGGAGCTCGACTGCTCGGTCTGGCCAAGGGGTGCAGTCAAAGTGAGCTCAAACTCTTTGTTCTTCTGTGTTTTCTTCAAATCATCTCTACAGTCTACAAATCAAGCTGAGACAGCTCATTTTGTCCAGGCGTTGGTGCAGCCGCTGGGTGCTCGTGGTTGCTATTTGGCACACCCAGGCGTGTCTGGACTGTGTGACAGTGGAGTGAGGCAGACGCCGGACGCGCTCTTGAAACTTTCAACCGGTGGAACCACGTTGTGCGTTTCGGGCTGGAGGCCTGCACCCAGCCATTGCTTGGGCGCGATGGCCCAGTGGGTCTCCATGAGGTCGAGGGTATTTAAAGGTCTGGTCCACGTCACTAAAGTCTTTTTCAAACGTCCTGAGATCAATCGTTGATTGCATTGCATCGAACTGGTCTACCGACACAAGGTCTTGGCACGTTGCCTGAACATCGAAGAGCAAGACACGGTCTTGGATCCTATGTGCGGGAGAGGGGTTGCCTTGGCATGTGAATCGAATGGCTTTTTATTGGAGGATTCTTTCTTCTTGCACGTCAGGTGCTTCTGTGCGAGGCGGCTCTCAACTGGCCACATGCAGGCTGGCCACAAGCTGGACAGCATTTCATTTTCTGACCGAAAACATCATCAATTTATCCATATGATGTGTCTCACTTCCTTTTGATGGCCTTTGGCTTTGCTAGGTGCATTCATTGGGTGCGACCTGGACCCTGATCAGCTGCGGCTGGCTGCTGAGAACGTGGCAAACCTCGCTCGGGGGAGCACCAGCAGTGCCCACGCACTTCAGCTGCTGCGGGCTGATGCAGCAAAGCTGGGGGGACTGCCGTTGGCCAAGGGCTCCGTGGACAAGGTGCCTCACTATAGATTGGCAGGATCTTGATTTGTGTTGATTTCAGACCAGACAGAAGCAAGTCACCGTTACCGAAGTCACTTGTTGATTGTGAAAGTGAAATCTTTAGGTAGCACTTTTTCTTCTGCCAGAGGTGCTCACGGACCTTCCGTTTGGGAAGCAGTTTGGTTCTCTGGACACCAACCGCAGCTTGTACCCCGCGGTGCTGGCCGAGCTGGCCCGGGTACTGCGGACGGGTGGCCTGGCAGCAGTTCTGACTAGCCAGTCGAACCGGGCGACGATGCGGGAGGCGCTGGCGGGTCAAGCAGGCAGACCGAGCAGCTGGAAGGTGGAACACTTGAGAAGCTTTCGGCTTTTTGTGAAGATGGACGCCTGCATCTACTTGCTGCGGAGGGTTGAAGTGGAAGGAGGATTGGATGGTGGGGAACGGGGAGGAAAGACGAAGATGGGTGGCTTGTCGGGTCCATTTGGCTGGGAAGATGGGTCGAGTTGGCACGAACAATGGGCTAAACATCGCCCAGCATTGGTGCCCTTTGGCAGTGCGAGCAAAGAGCGGCTGGAGCCCATGAAGTCATCCTGTGCAGATTTGTGCAGTGTCAGCTTTTTGCCGTGGGTTGTTGGTTGTTTCAGG